CTGTTCCATGCCTCTTTCCTGGTTCCTGGTGGTTTGCTGGCCATCACTGGCCATCCTTGTCTTCTGCTGCATTACCCCGATCTCTGTGTTTATCTTCACATGACATTCTCCCTGTTTGCCTACAGTGCCCAAAATTTCCCTTTTTATAAGGACACCAGCCATGTTGTATTAGGGGGTAATCCTACTCCAGTGTGACCTCATTTACAATAACCTGATTTCTAAATAAAATGATATTCTTGGGGCACCTAGGTGGCTCAGTGGGTTAAGCATCCGACTTTGGCTCAGGTACGATCTCGTGGTTTGGGAGTTTGAGCCCCGTGTTGGGCTCTGTGGGGACACCTCAGAGCTTGGATCCTGCTTCAGATTCTGTGTCCCCCTCTCTCTGTCCCTCCGCCACTAGTGCTCTGTCTCTTTCTCTCTCAAAAATAAACATTAAAAAAAATTTAATGATATTCTTAAGTATTAAATGCTAGGACTCCAACATATGATTTTTGGGGAGATACAATTCAACCCATAACATAATCTTTAAGACTTTAATATATGGTGTCCAAGTGTAGAGTGCATCTTTGAGAGATGTAAATGAGGTAGCATTGACAGGATTAATTATAAGTGCGGAAGGGATCATAGGAAAGGAGTAGTACTGGGTGATTTCTAAATATTGGCCAGGGGCAACTGAGTAAAGTATAGTACAAGTATACTGGAGAGGGAGTTTTGTAGTTAAGTTTGAAATATACAGAATCTGAGGCATTATAAAAAAGGCAAGTGGTGGGGCGCCTGGGTGGCTTAGTCGGTTAAGCGTCCGACTTTCGCTTGGGTCATGATCTCGCCGTTCGTGGGTTCGAGCCCCGCGTCGGGCTCTGTGCTGACTGCCAGCTGAGAGCCTGGAGCCTGTTTCAGTCTGTGACTCCCTCTCTCTCTGACCCTCCCCTGCTCACGCTGTCTCTCTCTCTCTCCTAGAAATAAATAAAACATTAAAAATAAATATATTTTTTNAAAAAAAAAAAAAAAAAAAAAAGGCAAGTGGAAATGTCTACTCAGTACCTATATATGTGGGTCTGGTGTTTAGGAAAGACACAGTTTGTGAATCATCACTACTTAAGTGGAAGTTGAAAGTCATGGGGATGAATGAAATCACCCACTATAATCACCCAGTAACACGAGATAAAAGAGGACCAAAGACAGAATCTTAGGGACCCAAATACTTAAGGGGTATTTGGAGGGTGAGAAACTTACAAATGTGACTGGGAAGAACGGTTTCAAGGATGAGGACATAAACTAATATTTGAAGGATGAGTAAGACTTCAAGGCAGACAAGGAAGAATTCCAAGCCAAGTGCATGGTTTGAACAAAGGGCTAGAGAATGAGAATGTACATAGCATAGTGTGGAAATACCCAATAACCTGACATGGCTGAGACAACAGTATAAGGGAGCAAGGAGTGGTGAAAATGAGAGAAAGAAGGTACATTAGGGTCAGACGTGAGAGGTGTCTTATGCCTGTCATTGGCCTGTTAGTGCTCAGATCCATTCCCTGCCCTTTCCTGCTTACCTCTGTATCACAGGATGCTGACCTTGGTATCCCACATTTCTCGGGCTGCTTTCCCCACTGGCTTCAGGTTAGGTTTGGCCAATAGAGGCACAGGTGGTAGACTAGAGGGCAGCATCTCAGGCAGGGACTGGGTCTACTCCACAGTCCAGATCTTGCTGGTCACACTCTAGCATGGCTCCAGCTCTGGCTACACAGTCCATCTAGTGGTGCTGGAGGCTCCTCCTCTGACTTCCAGGTCCTGCCACATACCGATTCCTGGGATCTAATGACACTAGATCTCTTCCTTTTGTCTTCTTCCCTAGGGCTGGCAGCAGGTCCCTGCAGTTGTTGATTTCTGAGATGCCTCAGCTTATTTTCAGCTCTGCTAAAGCTCTATAACTAGGTCTCCATATTAAATTCCTTCTGTAATTCCCAGGTTTTTGTTGTTGTTGTTGTTGCTCTTATGAGTGTTATAATGAACTTGGTCATGTGTTTCCTGGTGCATCTGTCCAACAGTCTCTTTCTAACAGCTTGGAGTAGAATTGCTAGACTGCTACCTTCAGACTTGTTTTACACATGAGAAAAACAAGCCCCATGTGAAAACAGATTCCTAGCTAACGCCATAGTCAAAATTTAATTTCCATGGATCAAATATAAAAGGTAAATCTGAAAGCTTTAAATTAAAATACAGAATCTTTATGACCTGTGCTAGGGAAAAATTTCTTATACAAGATACAAAAAGAGCAATCCATAAAGGAAAAGGTAAAACATTAAACATATTCAGAATTAAGAACTTCTGTTCAATAGGACATGATAAAGAGAATGAAAATGAAAAGCATAACTGGAAGAAGATAGTCACAACACATATAATGCACAAAATATTAGTATCCAGAATCTATAACTCCTACTAGCCACTAAGAAAAAGACAAATAACCATATAGAAAATAAGCAAAAAGATTCTTGACAGAAATGGAAATCCAAATGCCCAGAAATGGAAAAAAGGCTTAATCTCAACAGTAGTAAGGGAAGTGCAAATTAAAACCATAATGAGAAACCATTTCAACTCACTAGACTGGCACAAATGTAAAAATGACACATACTAAGGTTTTGACAAGAACGTAAAGCAGGGTAGGGGTGCCTGGGTGGCTCTGTCGGTTGAGCGTCCAACTTTTGATTTCAGCTTAGGTCCTGATCTCATGGTTCCTGAGTTCAAGCCATGCATCAGGCTCTGCGCTGACAGTGTGGAGCCTGTCTGTGATTCTCTCCCTCTCCTCTCTCTCTGTTCCTCTCCAATTTGCATGTGCGCGCGTGTTCTATAAATAAATAAATAAATAAATAAATGCTAAAAAAAAAGAATGTAGAGCAGGGTAAACTCATATACTCCTCACGGACATATGATTTGGCACAACTTTGGAAAGCAATTTGGCATCACCCAGTAGAGTCCAATAAGCATGGATCATATACCAAGCAATTCTATTCCTAAGGATAAAATTGAAATATCTGTGCACATGTGAAGCAAAAGACACCTATAAGAAACTCCAATGCACAATAGCTTATAATAGTCTCAATAGGCAAAAACTTTGGCCAGATTCAAATTTCTATTGACAATAAAATGGATAATAAAATTGTGATCTATCTATGTATGTCATGGATTTTTAATACAGCAGTGAAGATTAATATAAGCACACATGTAAAATGGCCGAATCCCATAACAGAGTGAAAGTAATCACAGAATGCCATACATAATTTAACTGATGTATTTTAATAGACAAAACTGAATAACATATTTTTTTAATTAAAATTTTTTTTAATATTTATTTTTGAGAGGGAGACAGAGTATGAGTGGGGAGAGGGGCAGAGAGAGAGAGGGAAACACAGAATCCCAAGCAGGCTCCAGGCTCTGAGCTGTCAGCACAGAGACCCATGTAGGGCTCGAACTCAAGAACTGTGAGATCATGACCTGAGCCGAAGTCAGACACTTAGCCGGCTGAGCCACTCAGGCGCCCATTTCGTAATTTTTTTTAAGGTTTATTTATTTTAAGAGAAGGGAAACACAAGAGTGTGAGATGGGGCGGGGCAAAGGGAGAGGGAGACACCAAATCTGAAGCAGGCTCTAGGCTCTGAGCTGTCAGCACAGAGCCCACTTACCACGGGGCTCAAACTCACAAACTGTGAGATTATTACCTGAGCCGAAGTCGGATGGTTAACCAACTGAGCTACCCAGGCGCCCCTCATTTAGAGGTACATACATATGTGGTAAGCTTTAAAGCAAAGAAGTTCATGCGTAACACCAGATTCAAGATGATGACTATCTCTGGGTGGAGATGGGGCATGTGATTATGAACTGTAAGTTTCTTAAGGAAAGGATTATGTTTCTCTGGAGTTCAGAATCAAGGACCTGACCTAGTCTGTGAGTTCACAAAAGCCTACCTGAGGAAAGGGCATTTAAGCTGATAGCTGACGAATGAGAAAGAGTTAATTAAAACAATGCTTCTCACATAGCCCCACTAGTAGCTGTGAAATATGATGGTATTTCCAGCCATAGTCAGATTTTTATTAAAAACATAATTTTATGCAAATAAAAACAAAAGACTGTCTATTGGAGATTTTGCCCTCGTGCAGAAAAGACATCAATATTTTTAGAAAATTAGCTGTATTCAGAGAGAATTTGGAGGCTTTCATTCTTCTTTAACATAAACCAGACTTGAGAACAAAATCATCAATATAAAAATTGGTGGCCATTCATAACTACCTGGAAATATCCTGCTCTTTACTTGGGGCTATAAGAGAGACTCTGAAGAGTTATCCAAGCATTTGGAGCAAGTTAAGCTGATGGCTGATATTATAAGAGAGATTCAATCTTTCTTTGGAGAAATACTTAGATCCTTTGCCCATTTGTAATTGAGTTGTCTTTAAGTTGAATTGTAAGAGTTCTTTGTATATCCTAGATACTAGACTGTTCTGAGGTAGAGGATTTGCAAATATTTTCTCCCAATTTGTGGATTGTCTTTTCACTTTCTTAATAGTATCCTTTGATGCATAAAGTTTTTACTTTTTGTGAAATGCAACTTAACAATTTTTCCTTTTGTTGCTTGTACTTTTGGTATCATATTTAAGAAACCATTGCCTAATCCAAGGTCATGAAGATTTACTTATGTTAGCAAAATGGAGTTTTGAAGAGACTGGATTTATGTAGCTAAAGTAAATGTGTTTTTAAAACCTATTAAAGAGGGGCGCCTGGGTGGCTCAGTGGGTTTAAGCCTCCGACTTCGGCTCAGGTCATGATCTCACAGCCTGTGGGTTCGAGCGCCACGTCAGGCTCTGTGCTGACAGCTAGCTCAGAGCCTGGAGCCTGCTTGAGATTCTGTATCTCCCTCTCTCTCTGACCCTCCCCTACTTACGCTGTCTCTCTCTCTTTCAGAAATAAATAAAACATTAAAAAAAAAACCCTATTAAAGAAGAAAAGCAGCCAATTATACACTGAATTATCTGAAGAAGTAAAAACACTAAATGTACTTAGAAATCATATTAAATTGTTATAAAAACTCACAGGCTTCATTGCAGTCAGAAAAGTCCAGTTTTGAAGTGAAATTCCAGAGTTTCAGCAAAAACTTAAAAGTCATTTCTAAGCTGCATCAGTGAAGGAAACTGACTATGGAGCAGTCCACTTTCAGTGATTTACTAAGGAAAGGAAGTAAAGAATCTCTCCAAAGCAGATGAAAAGATCCTTTATGTATGTGAAGAGGTGGACACTTACAGCCAAATCAGAAAGAACCATTGGGTCTTTATCAATTATCATGAGGGAAAATGGTTTATGATATTTGGTGAGATATCTGTTGGCTGAAAAAAATCTTGATAGGAAAATCAAATTCATACTTCAGAGGAATAAATGACTTAGGAATAATTTAAATCTCGACTCTGCAAAAAGTATCTTTATGTCCCTGATGTTCCAAAAGGGGCATTTGGCAGAGGCTCAGGAGCTGCTGGAACTCCCTGGGACGAGGAAGGAGATCCATTAAGTTGGGATGGCTTGAAGATCTAGGATTTTGTGCCTGCATGGACCACAGTCCTCGGTCAGGCCCACTGCATCCTGACACAGCACTTCCTCTACAACAGCAAGACAAGTTGTCCTCGTGCTCCCCATGCTGGCAGATACGCAACACCTTCTTTTGACATCTCTAAGACATCTGCATTTTCAGAAATACAGGCCAATAGGAATGATACCACAGATGACCTTGGTATCATTGGTAATTACTTTGGTAATCATGCCAGATTCAATCCTCTCACCTGAATGGAAGGCAGCTGACCCTGGGCTCTGTTCTTTTAAGTCATCCTCCTGTCAGAGGTCAGATATCCCAGATGGGTCCCAGGAAATAGTTCTTGACAAGAGCACCTCCTGTCATGCTCTTTTCTCTGGAAAGCCGGTTTGGACCTCCCCAAGAATCTTTTCCACGGAAGGATGTCCATGGCCCAGCACGTTCTTCACTGGCAACACAAAACGTCTCTAAACGAGTCCTGGATTTTGGTTTTTTGTCCATACAACATTAAAACAGAAGTCAGGCACCTTCAGAATTGATCTAGCCTTCTAACGAGCCTATTTCTAAAGATCAGAATCATAGGAAAAATGCATTTTTGTCCTTTCCTAAAGTAACTTTTGATATTTTCTCTACTTTCACTGCTACTAAGTGATCATTCCATGCCTCAAATGGAAGATGGAGAGAATTATAATTCTTAAGATACTGTTTTATTACTGGAGATTATTTAAACATGATTCTGAAAAGGAAATTGTTTCCATTATATTCTATTTGTAGATATGGTTATTATGGTATTTTTGTCGTTGTTGCTGACAAGTCCACTAAAGCAATCCAGGAACACAGAAAGAATTTTGCCTAATAAAATAATTTTGAGTGTTTTCTCTTTTAGTTTTATTGCTGTTAGTTAAGTGGTATACAGGTGCTCAAACAGAGACATTACAGAATTACCATTCTCAGGACAATGTTTCACAAATATACATCACTTAAATGGGAGTTTCGTTAGTAAATTGCTTCCATTTTATTCAATTTCTACAAAAAGTATATAATTTTTGATATTGCTATTAAACAAGTCTCTTCTACTGATCCAGGAAAACATAGTAATTTTATCTCCTAAACTATTTTTCAATTTTCTCTTCTTTAGTCTTTCTGCTGTCATTATGTGATTACACAATTGCTCAAATGGAAGCTCAGTAGAACTGTAATTTTTAAGATAGTGTTTATACATTTATTTAAAAGTGAATGTCACTTTCTCTGTTTCTAGATAGCCTGAAGATAGTATTTCAATTGTTTAACTTAAACTCCCCAATAACATGGTTATAAAAGTATCATGTCCATATCAGTTGTTACAGAAGACATCTGGACGGAATGGTATCAGATATCAGATGTGCTAACCATTGACTAGAAACATAAATCAACACATGTAAAAAGCAATGCCAGTGATATGCTATTGGAGTCCTGAGGTTGCATTCCCCAGTCCTGTTGAAGCAGAAACTGATTTAAGCCGAGGTCAGAGGTGGAGCACCAAGCAACAGATTCTAGTTTTAAACAGACTGCTGCCAATGATTCTCTCAAGCCATGAGCCAAATGCAGAATGCAGAGTTTGCCCTTTTCTGTGTTTTGGAACAAATAAAAATTTTAACCTGACATTCGTAAGACTGTTGTGAGAATTAAATGAAATAACACACCTATGGTGCTCGCATGAATAAATAACAGCTGCTATCACTATTATTCACCATTAGAAATATTATGGTGGAAAGCAATGAAGAGAAAAAAGTTACAGGTTAGATTCACTATACCAAAAGGAGAATAATCGTGACTAGTGTCATAATTGGAGTTATTAAAATGTAATCAAATTCAGAGGGAGCAAGTTTAAGAAAAAATTAATGGATTCATGTTAATTTAAATTATGAAACATTTCAATATTTGAGAACCATGAACTAATTTGGAACTGTTTAATACTTCTTATAAAGGCTAGTAATAGTGATAGCATAAAATAAATTTGCAGGTGGCAAAATTTAAAATTAGTGTAAATACAAAGAGCTGCAATATGGATGGAGAGAAAGAAAATGAATGACTTGCTTATTGATAAGATGTAATTATCATTAAACAACAGAGTGGATAAATGAATACTGAATTAGCTAGAATGTTAACAAGAGAGAACATTGAGCTGTCAAGAAGAGAATCAACACCCTTAACTGACAGTGTAGAAGACGCCTGAGGCCTACAGAAAGGCTTCTTCTCTCAGAACCCTCCCCAGGAGACAGGGGCAGGCTCAGGCAGTGCTTGATGCACTTTGAGGAACTGATGGGTCCAGAATCCATGTGATCTAGTTAGGCCAGTAAGATTTGATCTCAGGACTTGGGGATTTGGAGCTGAGTGATAGAGAGACTGGGAGTCAGAGTCATATTCATAGCAGTACTCTAGGGGTAAGTAAGGTCTATAGATTTATTGTTAAGGACCTTAAACTTGCCTTGGCTCCTGTTTCAACAACATTCAACTAATTCCCTAGATCAGGTACTGTGCCCTCCTGATACCTCCCTTCCTCCCCAGCCCCATCTTTTTGGCTCAATCCAACCTGATTAAGTTTCTGTTATTTAAAATTAGAAAAAAATATTTAAAAAAAATTTTTTTAATGTTTTATTTATTTCTAGGAGAGAGAGAGAGAGACAGCATGAGCAGGGGAGGGTCAGAGAGAGAGGGAGTTACAGATTGAAACAGGCTCCAGGCTCTGAGCCGGCAGTCAGCACAGAGCCCGACGCGGGGCTTGAACCCACGAACCGCGAGATCATGACCTAAGTGAAAGTCGGACACTTAACCGACTAAGCCACCCAGGCGCCCCTAGAAAAAAATATTTTAAAAAAACATTTGAAGTAATATTTATACAGCATCAAAAAAAGTACCACTTTTACATTATCAGTGAAATTCTAAGTACTAAATGTAAATTCTCTGTGCAGTTTATTTCAGTTTGAATAATGAAGCTCTGGAAATTCCAGCACAGATAAATGTGGACAAGAGAGAGGTTATAATAGTTTTCAATAAAAAGAAAGAACATGATTTTTCCAATGTACTACATGATCTTTTTATTTGTCAGTTTGCAAGCAGAAAACTGATGGAAACTAAGTCACATATCTATATGCTGTTATTTGGGAACTACTGAATGAAACCCTAGAGATTCTGAAATAGAGAATTAAAAAAAATCTTTTGATTATTCAGTAAACTCATTTTTATAAACAGACATTGAGGTCAGGGGAAATTGATTACCTCAAGGAGGATAATTTTAGGCAAGGCTGCATTAGAACCCTGTCTAATGCTCTTCGGACATAAACACATTGATAAACAAATGCTTCCTCACAACTGGAAGTATTATGAATAAAATAATGGCAGCCTATTCATTACAGATAGCTTGTTGGTGATCAAAGCTTGCTTTGTCATGCTGTAAATGTTTATATTGTAACAGTCTAGACATTTCATTAATATTTCTTAAAGAATGGGAGATATTAATTTATCCACTTATGAGTCACCATGGATATAAAAAACAAATAAATGAAACTACCATTATAATGTGAAATGCTGCAACATAATAACAATTTGATGTTCTTGTTTAAGATGTCAAATTGAATGTTGATTAGTTAGCAATATATTATACTAAAATTTTAATTTCAGAAATAGTTCATTAGTCTAGAATTTGTGGATAGGGACATTTGTAATTATTTCTCCCACAAATGAAAAGATATAATCTTCTATGCACAACTTTGGATATAAACAAGCAGCACAAGTTTTGCAGTTAACACTGGGCATGAGAACCTGGCTATAGGGCCATCTACACTGGCCTGTTTTAGTTCTGTATTTCAACCAGAGGAAGCTTTCTCCTCTTGATATTTTCCCTATAAAATGATGACAAAGTTAAATGAATCTGGATCTTCTGTCACCCTGTAATCTTTATGGACTTTAACATTTTCATTCCACTTACTAAACAAAGTAAAATCAATGTTCTATAATGAATATACATTATTTTCATTATTGAGAGAAAAAACCTTTACTATTAGAATAAGTGGAATTAAATAATGATTTTCCCCCTGTAGTTGGTAATTTCTAGACCCTCTATTTATTTATTTTTTAAGTTTATTTACTTATTTTGAGCAGGGGAAGGGCAGAGAGGCAGGGAGAGAGAGAGAGAGAGAGAGAGTGAATCCCAAGCAGGCTCTGTACTGTCAGCACAGAGCCCGATGGAGGGCTCAAACTCATGAAACCGTGAGGTCCTGAGCTGAGTGGAAACTGAGAGTCAGACACTTAACCAAGCGAGCCACCCAGGCACCCCTAGACCCTCTATTTAAATTAAGCCTCCCAATTTTGGGCTTAAAACTAAGTTCTCAGGATCTACCATACAACTTTGTGCCCATAGTTAACAATACCATATGATATTTTTTTAAGAGGATAGATCTCATTTTAAGTGTCCTTAATTTAATAAAAAAATTAAATCTATGTCATATACATATTTTGTTTTCAATGAAAACAATGAAATATTTAAAATTCATTTTTCCCCCTAATTATAAAAGTAATGCAGAGACTTGCAGGTCTGGGATGAGGTGGAGTAGTTGCACTTCTCCCCACCCCTTCCACTAAGTACAACTAAAAACCCTGGATGGAATTATGAAACAAATACATGAAAACTCTGTAAGAGGGAGAAAAGGCAGATTGGCTAGTTACCTTGAAAGACACGGCAGTGAGTTCCCTGGGTTTTCTTTTTGCTTCATATTTCTCATACTAGGTGCTGGAGATTCAAGCAACCTGGAAATGCCAGCAGGCTCAGACAAAAAATGGCCCCGAAAGCCTACTCTCTCTAGACAAAGGACCAGGAAAGAAAGAGCCTAGCAAGAAAGAAACATTCAGTTAATAACCACTCATGCAGAAAAAAAGTTAACATTGAGAGGCCTGAGCCATACAAAGTCCTGCTTACAAGGTTGGCCTTTGGCTAGCATGTGGAAACTTCACTGATAAAACAGTTCCCTACATTGATTATTAAACTTTCCTTAAATGATACAGATGCTTCATTGTGCCTAGACTGTTCACGCAAAGATATGGTTTATACTGTATACCTGCTTTCCTTCTGAGGGTCTGGAATTGGTGCTATATGACCAGACCACAAAACCTTGGGCATTGAGTTTCTAATGAACTTCCCTGGAAGGCAATACATTTACACCGATTGTCACAATTCACTGATGTAAAAATTAAGTGCATCCTGGGCAATTCTACTGGGGGAGAACTCTTAGATCTTGTGCCTCATTTCCTCTAGACTTCATGCCACAAAATTTTTCCTTTGCTGATTTTGCTTTGTAACATTTGCTGAAAATATCATCAACGAATACAACTGTACATTGAGTCCTATGAGTACTCCTAGTGACACTGAACATGAAAGCATTCTTGGAGGCCCCCAACATACTGCTCTACTCCAACCAAGTTTCAGAAAAAGTGGTGATCCCAACCCCACCTCTGTCAGCAATAGCCCATTGGGAAACATAGACTTTCACTCATTCCAGACTATAATGAGGTATCTACCAGGATAGTATCAGAGAAAGCTGAGTGGGAAGCCAGAACTTTTATCATATTCTAGTGGAAATGAGGCCCTCCACCACATCTCCCATAATGTCAGTCAGTGGAGGCCATCTGGGGAGTAGTGATTAGGCATCATTCTACCTCCCAACTATGGGGGGGTATCAGTTGAAGTCTGGTGGAGAACCTGAACTCCCACCCCTATACAACATGAGGTGACAAAGAAGGCCTAATGGGGATATGAACTTGTACCCTGACCAGGAAGTTTTAAGGTGGCATCTCTGTAACCTCACTCTGTGGTGTCACAGAAGGCCTGATAAAACAGAAGACTTAAGATCCAGAGTATCATACTGTAATACACAAAATGTTCAGGATACAGTAGAAAGGTACTTTTCCAGGAAAATCTCAATTTGGATGAGAAAGACAATCAACAGATGCCAACACTGAGAGGACACAGATGTTGGAATTATTTGACAAGGATTTTAAAACAGCCGGCATTAAAAATGATTCAATAAACAATCATGGACATGCTTGAAACAAATAAAAAGTTTCAGCAAAGAAATGGAAGACAAACAAAAGACATATAGACATTTGAGAACTGAAAAATTACAGTATCCTAAAATAAAAAATTTTTAATTAGAAGAATAGAAGAGTATATAAGAATCAGTGAACCTGAAGATATATAATAGAAATGACCTAATCTGAACAATAAAGAGAAAATGGATTAAAATAATTAACAGTCTTGGGGACCTGTAAGCTATACCAAAAGATCTAACATTTGTGCCACTAGAGTCCTGGGAGGAGAGGGGAAAAGAGGGTGGGCCTGAAGAAGTATTTAAAGAAATAATTTCTGGGGGAGCCTGAGTGGCTCAGTCAGTTAAGTGTCTGACTCTTGATTTCGGCTCAGGTTATGATCTCATGGTTTGTGAGAAAGAGCCCCACATTGGGCTCTGCACTGACATAGCCTGCTTGGGATTCTCTCTCTTTCTCTCTGCCCCTCACCTGCTCCCATGCGTGCACATGCACATGCGTGCTCTCTCTCCCTCTCAAAATAAATAAACTTTAAAAAAATACAATTATAAACTGGGGAGAGTAAAGAAACTTAAATGGAGTTAAGGTTTTTATACTGCACTCAAACAAATAAAATGCCATCTCCAGTAGACTGTGGTAAGTTTTATATATATATATAAAATGGATATATATATAATGTTATATGTTATATATATATATATATAATGTAATACCTAGAGTATCCATTGAAAAATTCATACAAAGAGATATACTTGAAAACATTACAGACAAATCAAAATGGAATTGTAAAATCATGCTCAAGTAACCAACTGAAAGACATGAAAAAGAAAACAGAAAAACCAAAACCAGAAGGAAGAAACAGCAGGCAATAAATTGGCAGATGGAAACTTTAACATATCAATAATGAAATTACATACAGATGGTCTATTTTGTTTGTAAAAGCCAAAAACTGAAAAAAAAACAAACAAACCCAATTTCCAAACTCGTGAATAACTAGGCAAATTGTGGTAAATCCAAGCCAGCGTATTGTACTCAGCCACAAAAGGAAATGGATTGTTGCTACAAACAATAGTTTCAATAGATCTCAAGAGCCTTATGCTGAGTAAAAGAAAACAATCTTAAAAGGCATATATATTTGGGGCGCCTGGGTGGGTCAGTCTGTTAAGCATCTGACTCTTGATTTTGGCTCAGGTCATGACCTCATGGTTCATGAGTTTGAGCCTCAAGTTGGGCTCTGCACTGGCAGGGCAGAGACTGCTTGGAATTCTCTCTCTCTCTCTTTCTCTCTTCCTCATCCCCACTCGTGCTCTTTCTCTCTCTCTCAAAATAAATAAATGAACATTTTTTAAAAAGGCATGTATTGTATGATTCCATTTACATAATATTCTAGAAATGACCAAAGCATAAAGATGGAAAACAGATTGGTGACCAAGGGTTAAAAATGGCAAGAGGAATGGGGGTGTGGGTGGGTACAAAGGGGGCAGCCCAAGGATATCTTTGTGGTGATGGAAGAGTTCTGTATCTTGACTGTAGTGGTTATATGACTCTATATGTGTAACATATGGCATAGAATTATATGCAAACAAACTGTACCAATGTCAGTGTTTTGATACTGCAGTATAGCTGTGAAAGACATAATCATCAGAAAAAAAACTCAGTGAAGGATGCATGTGATCTCTCTTTTCGTGACTGCCTGTAAGCCTATAATTATTTTTTATTTAAATATAAACTATATATACAAATGTATATACATCTAAAGCATAGAAAAGATATGCAAAATAGGCATAAAAATTATGTGGTAAGGATGTATCTCTATTATTTGAATTTTTTAAAAAAGAATGCAAAATTATTATAAAAATTCCAAATACAGAAAAATATAAACAAGATGAAAATGACTTGCTCTATGATGCCATCAAGAGATCATTTCAATTCACTCATTTAACAAATACTGAGTGCATCCTGTGGTGCCATTAGCTGTTAACATTTTGGGGTATATTTCAGAACTTTCCCATGCATCTAGAGTTATATACAAATTATAATCATTCATGGATATGCATTATTATATGCATAATATGTATTATTATATAAAAAGCTCTCATTATTTGACATTTTCTTCATTAATATCCACCATTCAGCAAATATTTGATTACCTGCTTTAGCCAACACCATGCTAGACTCAAATAATATAATGGTGAATTAATCAGACATGGTCTGTTTCCTCAAAAGTTTACAGTATAGTGAGAGACTGTCACTAGACAAATTTTTTGAGATAAATACACAATTACAGATTGTGTCAAGTTTAGACAAATGTAAACAATATTTGAAATTCTCAGCAGGGGTGGCTGGCTGGCTCAGCTGGTTAAACTTCCCACTTCAGCTTAGGTCATGATCTTAATCTGTAGGATTGAGCCCCTCATTGAGTTCTGTGCTGACAGCTCAGGGCCTGGAGCCTGCTTCCGATTCTGTCTTTCTTTGTCCCTCCTCTGTTTGCACTCTGCCTCTCTTTCTCTCAAAAATAAACATTAAAGAAAAATTTTTTGAAATTCTCAGCTGTGAAAGGAAAGGTTGTCTTGATAGCAAGATACCATGGCATGTTTATCATTGATGGAAATGAACCAGTAGAGAGAAAGATTAAAAATATAGGCATGAGAGAGGATAGCAGATTTAAAGAAAGTTGAGAAGGAAAGAGCCAGAGCACAAGTACAAGGGTTGGCTTCAGGTAGAAGGAAACTGCCACAAAGAAAGAGAAGTGAAAGAAGCAAAGACAAATACAGACATAATTTAGTTTATAGATTCAGAGGTCTGAAGTTGAGGCATTTCCTCTTTGAGACCTATTTTGTTATCAAAAAGATAAGATAATGTCATCTGCCAAGAATAGGATGTAAATTGGAAGATCTGAGGTTTAAAGCCAGTTGTGGTTTTAAGTTGTCATTTGGAGATAGAACCTAAATAGAGAAAGTAAACTTCCCACACGGAGTTAAGAGACTGTAGAGTCTGCCCTATCGGGCAAATTCTGCTCATTCTCAGCACACTGACTGCAGTCAAGGAAAAGTCAAGGGAACAGATTTTAGATGAGAGAAACAAAGTGCTATAGTAACTAAGTTTAAAAGAAAGAAAAGAAATAAGGAAAGTGTTTTTCAACTGGAAGGAGAGAAAGAAAATGACCTGAGAGAAAAGGGGAAGGAAGTAAACAGGTCAGGGGAAGATGGAGATAAAAGCAAGGTGGTGTGGATTCCTGGCTGGGGCACAGGAATGTCCTTTATTTAGCCTTATAATCCAAACATGATCACAGTGACATTAGCAGTTTAACATCTGATTTTATGAAACTGGTTCCATGCTTCTTTTAGTCTCTTAGACCCAACAACCTACTGAAATTCTTGGAATTCCCAGGCCTCCAGTTGCTGCCGACAATTATGAGTGAGGGACAAGTATATTACTCTCCACATATTAGAAGAGAGGGTCTAGTGAGCAACAGGAGGCAGAAGTTTAATTATTCACTTCCCAATGGCACTTGTGAGTTGCTCTGAGCTGTTTTTAAAAGTCCATTTTGTGTTTATTCCTAGTTACCAGGAATCCAGCTCCTTTATTCATAACATAATTTTTTATTTCATGAATGTTTAGCTTAATAAAAATGGACTTGGAAGAACTGAGATATGGGCAAATCATCTGTTAGATGGGCTTTGTCCAAAATACTTTGCTACCATTATTTTCTGAGGAATACCACTGTTCAACACTTGGCAACTATTAAATTATCCACACTCGAGGAACACCCAACTTATCAGATCCTCCATTTCATGGCTATTTTATTGTTAAAAAGAAGACTCTCTTTGTGAATCCTGTTGTTTAGAAATAAACTTTATGGTGTTATAGTTGAGATTTATGATTAACAAAAACGAGCCTCTTGAGTTAACAGCAAAAAATATAAAGTGGTCAAGCAGCTGGTTAGCACAAGAAAAAGGAACAGACTGGATTGAAAGAAAATTATAATTCAGTCTGGAGCTCAAGCCCTTGTTTTTGATCATCTCTTTGGTTGGACTGTTAACATGTGATTCTTGTACAAATTCTTTTAATTTGGGCTTTTCCTTTCCTTTCTCCCCCCCCGCTCTTTTTTTTTTTTTAAAAGAGAGTATTCTTTTTTTCCCCCTTTATTGAAAATGTTTCATTTTTAAAGATGAGGAGCTTTTCATGCATTACTAATGCAATAAAAATTACCAAAAGAGAGAGGTAAGGAGAACATAAAATAGTGTTTGCCCTAACTAAAAAATTGTTAGGACGCAAAACTTGGTTCTTTGCTTCTCTTCATCACAGCCAAAAGGGAAACATCAATCAGTTACACCACTGTCACGTAGAAGGAAAAAAAAATACATATTTCAAAGACTGGTACTTATGTGAGGCCAATATTCTCATTTTCCTTTCCTTTTCAAAATCTTAAGTTTTGGTTGGCATCATATACAACAATCTAGTGGCAATGATTCCCCCCCCCCCCCCCCCCCCCCCCCCCCCCCCCCGTCTAACATCAAGTGATGCACGTTGGGAGTCCCTTGTATGAATCAGATGGGAATTGCTCTAAATTTCCATTAAAATCTACAATTCTTTTGTCAGGCTTTGTAAATGGCTTTCCTCACATTCAGAGGAAAAAACGGAGTGGAGGCGGGATGGGCAAGTGGAGACACAATTTTATACTGGAGTAACCTCGATGGGAGCTCTCATACTGAAATTCACTTCCCTGGTTTTCTGAGCGATTCAGGCTTGCCCCTTAAATTATTAGTGCTGGTGGCCCCCGACGCCAAGGAGGGAGTCTCAAGTCTTCAGTCATCAAAGGTCACCTTTCAGCCCTCATCCGAAACATGACACAGCCACACGAGTCCTACTGCAAAGTCCTACGAAGGTCTCAGCACCCCTGAGAAGCCAAAGAAACACCACCAACCCACCTTCTACTTCGGCGAAACAATACCCAACACGTCAAACCCCTGAAGTACCCGCCCAGCTCTGCGCCCACCAGCCGGCGCATGCGCAGAAGAGGGGAGAACAGGCATCCATCCAGGAATCGTAGGGGTTACAGTCTCGGAAAGGCCTGGCTCCGTCGCCAGGTGAGGAGATCCCTGATGGCAGCTATTTAGGATTATCCTCACCAAAGGCAAACACGAGAAGCAGCCCTCCGGTCTCCGGCACGTTTCCGTTTCAAACTTGAACTTCCGGTTCGTTAGCCGGTTCCGGTCCCCGTACTTCACTTCCGGTCACCCTCTGTTCCGCCGCGGCTGGTTCCTGCGTCCACTGCTGCCGGTTCCGCCGCGCTCCAGGTGAGGGGACGCGGGGCACCTGGGTGCGCTGCCCACCGAAACGCCGTCGAAGCCGAGGGGCCGCGGCGCAGCACAGCTGTTGGCGCGACGCCGCCTCCGCTACGGTCGGCCCCGGCGGGCTGGAGGATGCTTGTGGGCGCCCTGGGCCACGTCTGCCCCAGTCTGCGGCCCCGGCCTGCGGCCCCGGCCCGTTCGTCGTAGGGGCCGCCGCCCTCCCGTCCGGCCTTCTCGCCTGTGTCGTGGGCTTCCGTGCCTCAGTGGGTTTTGCGTCCCCGAGCTCGATTCCTCCCTCCCCTGGGGTTTGTCCATCTCTCCTCCTCGCCCTCCCTGTTGAAGGCATCCTGGCCTCCGGGGTTTTTGAGTGTCTACTATGCTTGTATGCTGTCCCCTACCATTCTCTTCCCACAGCTGCTGCTTCTGCACTACCTCGCGGTTGCTGCTGCTGTAGGCTTGTCAAAAAGTTAACCTCCTCTCGATTATCAAGGTGTTAACTTCTACTGCTATTAGTTTCAAAAATCCGCCTTTGCCACATTTTAGTTGTGTGGGCATGGACAAGTCATTTTCTTTATTTTTCAGTTTTTAAATTTCTATGATGAAGACAATAGCCGTTCAGGATTGTGAAGATTAAGTGATAGAATTAAGTTGTTTAGCATGCTGTCCTTATTCTATAATCTCCACCATTTGTCTTGCTCTGTGCAGTTTTCGAAGTGCTGTCAAGGGTGTTCTGTCATGCCTTTTAACACTTCTTGCTAAGTAGATATTAACTACCTCATTTTAGGGTAGGAATTTTGGAATCGATGAGGCAAGTTAGTACAGTATGTTAGGCAGAAGGGCTAACCTAAACAGTGCTTTGTGACTCTAGGTTCACCCTAAAGGTTTGATCCTTGCTTACTTGTTTGGGTTTAATTGCCACCCAGCCCATCCCCAAATCCTTTTGCGGTTTATAAATCTGATAGGGCCTAGCATGATACAAAGTTCAGTAAAACCTTGCTTGGGGAACATAATTTGTTATGTTATTTTAACATAACATTAATAAATCTTGTTAATTTATCAAGTTAAAATTTATTAGAAAAATTCCCCATCTCACAGAACACTTGCAGAGCAAGTTACTCACAATCCAAGGTTTTCCTGTATTAGAATTGTGTGAGAAAGAAGGTTAAATATGAAAACATAAGATGACTCATGTGTTTGCGATGTGTTGTTCCATTGTGAATGATCTCACTATTGAAGAAATTAGATTGAAAAGTAATTTTAGGACTATGCATTTAAAATATTAATGGTATTTGTTTTGTTATGCTTGGTCCTTTAGAGCAGTTGCAAATTTGGAATTCCTACAAGTGGTATAGGTGATGTATACCATTGCATACTAGTTTACTAAGCACACAGAGCCCGTGCCATCCAGCACATTTTCTTTCTTAGCTGAGAAAGTTGAGGAGTCTAGAGTATTGGTTCTCAAACTTTTCATATGCCTCAGAAATGGTGGGGGGTGGCGGAGGCTGGGACAGGGACTCTTAAAACACAAATTGCTAGGTCCTTTCTCTGCAACCCCAATTGTTTTTAACAGGTTACCAAGTAGGGTCATGCTGTCATCAATTGGTCCAAGACCACATTTTGAGAATGCTGAGGTGAAATGACTTGTCTAGGCTCATCTGGAGCTCAGGTGATCTCACTCCACACAACATAAACTGTTAGTGCTGGTTGCATTCCTAGCTCTTGTAAATTTTCATTTTTGTTCCCACCTTCACAGAAAAAAATAGTATTTATTTATTTATTTTTTAAATGTTTTATTTATTTCTAGGAGAGAGAGAGAGAGAGAGACAGTGTGAGCAGGGGAGGGTCAGAGAGAGAGGGAGTCACAGACCGAAACAGGCTCCAGGCTCTGAGCTGGCAGTCAGCACAGAGCCCGACGCGGGGCTCGAACCCATGAACCGCGAGATCATGACCTAAGCGAAAGTCGGACGCTTAACCAACTAAGCCACCCAGGCGCCCCAGAAAAAAATAGTATTTAAAACCATCTTTCAGTTTAGTTCAGAAGGTCTGTTTGGCTCTTTATTGAGGATCATAACATTTGTTAGCAATGTATCTCTAAAATGTATTACATTGCCCTAAATTAACCCACTTTATTTGAATTTCAGTATTGCAGGTTGTAAACATAAGAGTGTAAGTATTAAATGAATTCATGGTACTATCTTTTGGTGAAGACATTTAAGTTTCTAACTTGTTTTCACATATGATTCACAGTTTGCCGCCTTGCTGTTGGTCATAATTCAGAAAGAATGCAATCAAATATTTCATTAAATAAGTGATAGCATTTGTAAAGATTGACACTTTTGAAATTAGGAAATTCTATTCTCTGACCTGTGAGGGAAATGAACTTGGGAAAACTGTTAGAAAGCTTTAAGAGGGAAGAGACCTACATGTTGTGGGTGATGAGAATAGCAAAAATAATTTTGTGTGCTCGTATCCGTGCCTGCGTGCTTTGTATTTATTGATCTTTCAAGAGAGGCAGTTGTGATATAGGAGAAGAAACATGAGATATAGTCAGAACTGTTATGTTCCCAGCTATGTGCCCATGAGCAGATTACATAACGTCTCTGAACTCTCACTCCATTGTAAGAGGGACAATTCTTACCAATCTTGTTAAATGAGATTGCATAAAAACTGCCCAACTTATTAAATATGAAACAAATAATGGCTATTTGCTATTTATTTAGCACAGTGCCTAGAATACTTCAGTTCCAGTTTTTAAGAAAATTTATTTAGCCAGTGCTTAATTTATGTAGTGCTTACTATGTGCCAGGTCTATGTGACTTATAAATATTAGCTTAACCCTCATAAAAACCCCCAAAGTAGGTAGTATTATCAGCCTTACTATACAGATGAAGAAACTTAGACACTAACAGTCCGGTAACTTCCCAAAGTCAAATAGCTAGTAAGTGGGAAAGCTGGAATCTGCACCCAGATACTCTAGAGTTTGCACTTTTAACAACTCAGTGTATCACAGCTCAAATGTTAAATAAATATGAATGGTTCATCATGGAAGAACTATCTTGTAGCATAAACCGGGTCAAACAGGGGAGATAGGTAGCCTATCATTGCAGCTTAACAACTGAACAGGGAGAATCCGATAGAGTGTTACAAAGTGGTAACTCTAAGCCAAAAATTGGGAAGGTAGGGGAATTTTAACTTTGAATCCTAATAACTTTTGGTGTTCTGGTAGCATTTCTTTAAGGAGAATATCTTGTTTCTCCACCATTAGGTTGTAAAGTAAGACTCAAACTGCATTGTTCCTAAAATTTAGTTACAAGTTTGGCTATATCTTTGATGTATCAATTTTAACTTATTTACTTGTATATCTCTTTCTTTTTAGGTATCCTCTTCTGAGCAAAAGCTGCTTGATCATATGTTTCAAGGATGGCTCTCCCTATCATCGTAAAATGGGGTGGACAGGAATATTCAGTGACCACACTTTCAGAAGACGATACTGTGCTAGATCTCAAGCAATTTCTTAAGACCCTCACAGGAGTGCTACCAGAACGCCAAAAATTACTTGGACTTAAAGTTAAAGGTAATTCTCTCTTCACTTTAAACTTCTTGTATTAAGATGTTTATGATTTTTTATATTGGCTATTGTCTTTTTTCTTTAGTAAATCATTCCACTTGGAGATTTCTTTGATAAGGATATTCCTAAAATTAGTTTATAGTAAAAGTGAAAATATCAAAAGTTACTTGAAAATACCATCACTATTAAGATTACTTTTGATTCCTCTGACAGTTGCTGCTTGCTTGTTAAACCTTTGGCACAGAAGCCTCAGGTAAAACAGTGTAAATTTCTGACAGCTTTGTTCTAGTGCAGCTTTTTCATTACAGCTTGGTTCTACTCTCTTTAAATTATCTTTTCTGCTTCAGAAATAATTAAAAATTATAGGCATTGTTCATACGCAGCCTGAAAGGGATTTTCGTGGTGTTTGTGTTTAGAAGGGTGAATTTTGGGTAGCAGTAAATCTTTAGTTTTATCTTAGGTGCTCAATGTTCAAGACCTTTTGGAAAACATCTTCATTTTGAACAACAAAATAAAACATGAATTTATTTCATTTAGCTAATTGAATGAAAGTGTTCCTCTGAGATGGAGTTGGGGAAGAAACAAACCTTGTATTAGTTGTTACTTCTTAGTGTGGTAGACATTGCTAATTCAGCAGTGACAGTTTGTTAATTTAAGAAAAAAGAAACTGCTGTGGAATCTGTACCAATCCTTTTAATGTTAGGGTTTTATATAATGGGATAGTGAAACCAGCACTTGAACTTTAGTGAGAAAACAGTCATTTGCTTGTATTGTAGGCAAACCTGCAGAAAATGATGTTAAGCTTGGAGCTCTCAAACTGAAACCAAATACTAAAATCATGATGATGGGAACTCGTGAGGAGAGCTTGGTAAATGTTTACTTTTGTTACCATTTGTCCCTTTGAAGATATTATGATTTATATTACACTGTTATATCATAGTTTTAATTGTGGTAAAATTGTCAATTTAACAGTCAGTGAAAAATAAAAGCTTCCCAGTGTATGTGGTCTTAACTCAGCAGAAAACAAATACCAGGGAACTTGTTAGTATATAGTTAGCCATAAGTGTAGTAGTAGTGCAAATGGTCAAATTTAACATGGTAAATCTGCCCAGTGAACATATATAATGAAGTATAAAATGTGGAAATTTTCTCACAGTCTGTGTTTGAAAGATTCTTGAACTCAGATTGTATTTTTTTATTTGCTTTTTATGCTATGCATGCACTTGTTACATTAAAGATAATCTGGTAAAACAAAACTATTTTTCATCTTAATAGGAAGATGTCTTAGGGCCACCTCCAGACAATGATGATGTTGTCAACGATTTTGATATTGAAGATGAAGTAGTTGAAGTAGAAAATAGGTAAGTACTTTCCACTATCAAAGGAAATAGGTTTTAATGTGAAAAAAGGTGAATGTTTCATCTGATTTTATTTTTCTAATAGGGAAGAAAACCTATTGAAAATTTCTCGCAGGGTAAAAGAGTACAAAGTGGAGATTTTGAATCCTCCCAGGGAAGGGAAAAAGCTTTTGGTGCTAGATGTTGATTATACGTTATTTGGTAAGTCAGCTAAAACTGTGCTTCATCTTCTGTTACCCATAACAACTCTTTTTTTCCCCCTTTTATTTTTTTTCTTCCAGAATGAAATATTTGAAAGCTTTTCTTATTATAAAAAGTAAACCATTCATTGTGGAAAATGTTATTTGTAACCCCCAAGCCCAAAGATAACTATTCTCATATTTAGATGTGTATCTTCCAGGTTGTGTTTGTATGTATATCCTTTTTACTTTTACTTGATGATATATTAAATATCTTAGTCATTCAATATATTCATTGTGAATTAAGTATATGTAGTTTTTGGTCACACAGTACTGTAGTTTATGGATGCATCGTAATTTAACCAAGTCATTCCCTATTGATTAATGTTTTAATTTTTATGAGGATCATTTAAAAATTATTTTTGATATTTTATCCCTAGTTTTTCATTTAATTATGTTCAGGGCAGATTCTTGAATTAAAAACTTTCATGTCAAAAAAAAAGAAAGATGTGGGGTGCCTGGATGGCTCAGTCGTTAAGTGTCCAACTTCAGCTCAGGTCATCATCTCAACGGTTCGTGGGTTTGAGCCCTGCATCGGGTTCTGTGCTGACAGGCCTGGAGCCTGCTTCAGATTCTGTGTCTCTCTCTCCCTGCCACTTCCCCACTCCCACTGTCTTTCTCTCTTTCTCAAAAATAAACATTAAAAAAAGAAGGAAAGATGTTTGTCTCATCCTCTAACATTGCTAAGAAGTGATGAGTTAACTCCTGATATGGCATGAATTTATTTAGCTCTCATCCTAAACTTTAAGTACAGGTCATAGGTTAATGTATACTTATTTTAAAATTTGATTATTAAGTTAATTGGGCCTGTCATTTTGGTGAAATGTGATTCTGTCTGGAAGGTAAATGGCTAAAAGTAAGTATAAGTGACTCTAGTTTGCTTTTCATGTCACGAAATAACACCTATATTTTAGAGACTACGTGAAAAATAAATTCACAGTTTATTGTATAAGCTTGAATTCTGGGTATTGCTCTTCAAAATTAAAGTTGATTAATTAAAATTAGATTGTAAGTTGTTAAATTGTGTGCTTTGAAAGACCTCTGTTTATCAAGCACTGTAATTCAGTCTTATGTAGTTTGCATCTGAATGTTTATATTACACTTTTTAAGTTTTGTTGCTATCATGTACTTATCCACGATAACAAACTAATAATCATCAATGACTGATTTTCTTATAGACCACAGGTCTTGTGCAGAGACTGGAGTAGAATTAATGCGGCCATATCTTCACGAATTCCTCACATCTGCATATGAGGATTATGACATTGTTATTTGGTGTAAGCTATATTTTTTATTTAGATTCCATGGTGTAAGCTATATTTTTTGTTTAGATTCCTAATGTTGTTCTATAAATTATTCTACTTTATAAAATGTGACTTAACATGACCTGTTGTTAAATATGATACATTTTTCATTTGTTTTAGCAAATTTCTGATGAAGCATATTTAACTTTCTTGCAACACAGTATAAACTTACACGTATCTTTACCATTACCACTGAAATAGTTAAATGTAGGAAGAGAGTAGATGATGCTGTCAGAATAAAAATGATCTTACTTCCATAAGACCTCACCTTGCTGAGAACTTTTCTTTATGATCTTTACTGTAGAATCTTTGATGCTTCAGGATATTGTTGCTTCCTCCTTTTCACTCCAATTTCAGGAAAAACTTGGAGAAAGATGTATAAAAAAAATCACAGTGATGTTCTTCAGAAATAAAGGAATATGAATTTACTTAACGGAAATTAATAAATGAACTAAAGCAGTATTACTTAAATTGTTGTTGGTGGCCCATTCCAGGAACTCACAGGTCCATTATAAGATCAGTTTGCTCTGAAAAGTAAATTTATTACATTAGTGAGCACACTGTTTAGTTCAATGGACATTTTTTGGTAGCAAGACTTTATTGCTAAGGGAAGCAGTATATTGATTCATATCTTCCCTCCCCTCAAAAATTTAATGTTGCCTCTTGGCAAGCCTTAGGCAGAAAAAATCCTATCCTGATTGTGAATTAAATAAAACCTCATCAGTTAAAGATGCTGCATTTAATTGTACTGGGTTTTTGATGAGTGACCACCTAGTTTTTACTTCAGTCTCTAAATTTCCTTTATACTTTTCCTTTTTAATCACGATATCTCCATTGTTCAGTGTTAAAATGACTTCATAACCTTTAACATTAAATACATAGTTAAATACATAGTTTCTTGGTTTATGATGTACAGGGAAGAGAGCTCCCTGGGAACAAATTGTTGTTCAACTGACATCTGAGATGACATTTGAGATGACAAAGTTTCCTCTATATTAGACCTAGGATTTTGAGAACTTTTTACTGTCATATGTTTAAAATAAGTTATTTTTATAAATTATGATATTTTTATGGCCATATGTTGAAAAAGGCACTTTACTTTAGAGCTAAATAGAGTTTTAATTCTGACTTGGTTCTTACTTTGTGACACTAGGCAGGTCAGTTCATCTCTCTGAGCCTTAAGTTCCTCATCTGAGAAATGAAGAAAGGAAACCTATATTACAGGGTAGTTGCAAGAATAAAAGTATCAGTATATCAACTAGTATCATGTCTAACATATAGTAGTTACTTAATTGGAAACCCTTTTAATAGCTATGAATATTTTTGTTTTTTATTTGGGAATTATAGACCCAAAATAGATACTGAATTTAAAAAAAAAAATGTTTTTTCCTGTCTTGTGATTGTTGTCATTGTAGATACATCAGTCTCTTAAAATTTTAGTTCAACTGACGAGTTTTGTGTGATTCTTTCTGTTTTTGCGTATGTGTGCAGAGCTTTTTATTTTGAAAGCTTGGGTACCTCTTTGCTTTTAAAAAATACATATTAAACTCCTTTTCCTTTTTAAACATTTTAATTAGTAAAATGTTTCTCTCCCTCTCTCTCTGCCCCTCTCATGCTTGCACGCACGCCTGCTCTATTTCTCTCTCAAATAAACTTAAAAAATATCATTTTACTTAGTAAAATGTTTAAAATGTAGTTTAGTCCAGTTAACTTGGGACCAGAAGGACATATAAAACTGAGGGTTGAATTTTAATATCAGTGATCTTAAAACTGGTTGGTGTCTGATAATGAGCAGATACATAGATTAAATTTATGAATTTAGTTGTCTCAGACTCATGTTAAAAGCTCCTAGACTGAATAAACACTAAGTTTCCTGAGGCTGGCAAAATGTTAATTTTCATTGAACTTAATAGTCACTTTTGGCATCAACTTTTGGCACATAACATTGATATGCTTGTATTGACATCTATACTAATGAATTGCGTGGCAGTGGGAATGTGGAAGTAGATTGAAGATCCAGGCATCATATATTTAAGTTTGCATTAATAAGAAAATAGTATTAGGGCTGTTTTTTAAAAAAGGTTTAGGTCTTACTTTATAAATTACCTAAATTCAGAATTCTTTGGAACATTGGTTACCTGTATCTTTTAGATAAAAGTTGTTAAAATTCTATTTTGTGTTGACACACTAAAAATAAATTTATCTTTATAAATACTTAAAATTACCACAAATACGTTAGGAATTATTATTTGTGATGTATTTGAACTTTTACTATTGCTTAAAAACCTTATTTAAACAGAAGAAAAAATTCTCAAATGAAGTCCAAGCTTTTCATTTGTGTTGTGTTATCATTCTTCATATTTTAGCTGCAACAAATATGAAGTGGATTGAAGCTAAAATGAAAGTAAGTTTTAGACAATCCATTTAAGAATGTTTTGAAATTGCATTTGTCTTTTTAGAAGTTAGAAGTTGAAGTGATTTCATCTCATCAAAGGGCGTTTAGTAGATAAACATGCCATTATCAGGAATAGAGGTGTGTTTAAAATCTGTTTAATAGTGGATTGTATTGAATAATTAAAGCTTTTTCAAAAAAAGTACAGCACAGTTCCCCTCATTTTCCCCCCATTTACAATGCCTTTTTTCCCCCTTCTTTTGATATGGTATGTAATAATTAAAGAAACAATGTCCTTCTGAAATATAAAAAAATATAAAATGGGATGTAATCTGTTCCTAGTTTATTTTCTTTGGACTACCATTTAGTGACTTAGTAAAATGAAACTAAAAAACTTGCTAGTTGTTGAGAAAGGTGTGGTGGCCAGTAGGTTAGAAAGTTGGGATTGTGGGAAATTGTAGCTGGAGTATTTAGAAAGCCTAGAATTTTTCATGTTATTATGTTTTAACTACATGAATATTTGTATTTATAGGAGCTGGGAGTGAGCACAAATGCAAATTATAAGATTACCTTCATGTTGGACAGTGCTGCTATGATAACAGTGCATACTCCAAGGAGAGGATTAATAGATGTAAGAAATCATTTTACTTCTGGGGTACCTGGGTGGCTCAGTCGGTTGATAGACTGACTCTTGGTTTTGACTCAGGTCATGATCCCAGGATTCGGGAGTTTAAGCCCCACATTGGGCTTCCCACTGAAAGTGTGGAGCCTGCTTGGGATCCTCTTCCTCTCTCTCTGCCCCTCTCATGCTCTCATACATGCATGCTCTATTTCTCTCTCAAATAAACTTAAAAAATATCATCTTATTTCTGTTTAAAGACTTTTTTTCCTAGTGTACCTTTTTTTTAAAAAAGATTTTATCTTTTTAAGTAATATCTACACCCAACTTTGGGCTTGAACTCAGAACCTGAGATGAAGAGTTGTGTGTTGTATTGACTGAGCCAGCCAGGCGCCACTCTAGTGTACTTTTTGTATTTATATTGATGGAATAAACTACAGAAAGAGTTGAGAAGTACTCTGAAAAGATAGAAAAGTGTCAGTTGAGTTTCACATGGAAAGATGCATGTAGGGTTAATAGATTGGAATTTTAATGATAGAATTAAGAATCTTGAGTCAGGAGTGTCAGGAAAGGTCATGGATAATTATCCCATGATGATGGCAGCACAGTGTTGCTAAAAACAGAGTAGGTGTCATCAAGGAAGATACTAGAAGCAAAGCAAAACATACTCTCCCTGCCTTATGTAAAACGTGATAAGTAAAAACGGATACCATAATGCATGTACTTTGGTATGATGTATCTGTAGTCCTAGAGAAGAGCAGCAACAAGAACTGTCAGAGAAAAAGGTTGGGCTAAAAAGATTAGAGTTCTTTGTTTACTCATCAAGTAACCAGTCCTATTATTGAACTCCTACTAGAATGTATTGTGGAAGGCACTGTTGGAGATGAGGAGACATGGTCACGAACTAGTAGGAATTGGGGAGAACTATTAGCAAACTAGTTTGGAAAGCCTAGTGGGAACTGTATTGAAATCATACATAGATTTATTTAAGTGCATGGAGATTTATTCAGTAAAGGAAATACTTCATACATCAAGGGAAAAACATTATTACGTACTAAAGTAGTACATTTATAAAATCTAAACACTAAAAATAGTTTGGGAAGTGTTAAACATAGTAGTGTTTATAATAGTGAAAAATTAGAGAAATAAAAATAAACCTGGTTGTTGCCAGAAGGGAGGTAGGTGAGGAGATGGGTAAAATAGATGAAGGAGATTAAAAGGTACAAACTTCCAGTTATGAAATAAATACGTCATAGAGATGAAAAGTACAGCATAGGGAATATAGTCAATAATGTTGTAATAACGTTGTATGGTGATAGATGGTGATTGCACCGTCTTGATCACTAAGTTGTGTGTAGAGTTATTGAATCACTGCGTTGTACATTTGAAACTAATAAAACATTTTACATTAATTATACTTCAAGAAGAAGTTAATAAATCCTCAATATCCAATAGTAGGGAATTGGATATAAAAATTTTTGTTCATCCATGTAATGGAATGATGTAATAGAATATTTAGTGAATGAAAAATTTTTCATGATACATCATTAAAGTGAAAGAAGTACTTTAGAGGACAGTATTTGCAGACTGTTAGAAATAGTTTTTAAAACCTTTATTCTGTTCAGGTTTTCCCTTAACAAAACATCTGTGAACTCAAAAGCTGTTGAAGTTTATAAAAAAGACTGGAGGTAAATATAAATACAGTATTGTCAGAATAGCTAATTATTATTCTTGGCAATGATAGGATTGCAGATGATTTTAAATGTTCCAGTGTGCTTTTCTGTGTTTTCACAGTTTTTTCCTATCAGCAGTATTATCTCTCTAATTGAGAATAAATAGTCCATGTTTTCGGGAACAGAGTGTACATGACGTAATTAGAATGTAACAGCAGTATTTAAGAGGATGCAGGATTTCTAAACTTGGGTGTCATCAACTAAAGCTCTGGTCCTCTTGAGGCTTTTGTTAGCCAAGAATATGAAGAATCTGGCTTATTGGGTCAGTTGCATCTTTGTCTTGAAGTATTTGGGGCGTTTGTTTCAATAGTAAACAAGTAGTAAAAATTAATTTTTAATTTTAAAAATTATTTAAAATTAAAGTATTTTAAATAATAAAGTATAAGAACATTCTTTGCAGTAGTTAAGACACTAGAAGAATAAAGGCTTTCTCCATATTAAAATATGTTCTAGAAAGAGAAAAAATATTTTTAAATGACAACTTTTGTCATCTATTTATTACCATTTAATCTCATATAATTATAATTATTATCATAGAATCTCATGTTACCATAAATGAGACTCCTGTCTTCAAAAAATACTTGTAAAAAATAGTTTATTTAAAAAATTTTCTGAATGTGCAAAATAAATTCATATGATTTAAAACTAAAAAAATAAGTATGTAATGAAAAGTCCTCCTCCCACCTGGCCCTCTAGCCACTTAGTCTTTTCTTCCTACTGTTATTGTGTGGTCTTATAGAGAATTTATGCAAGTACCAACAGATAGGAATGTATAAGGAATTATCTTTTTGAAGACTTATTTTAAGAACTCAGAACTAGGGGCTCAGTTGGTTAAGCATCTGACTCTTGGTTTCGGCTCAGGTCATGATCTCACGTTTTTTGAGTTTGAGCCCAGCATTGGGCTCCCCGCTGACATGGCAGACAGAACCTGCTTGGGATTCTTTCTCTATCCTGCTCTCTCTGCCCCTCCCCTACTCACGCTGTCTCTGTCTCTCTCAAAATAAATAAATAAATAAACTTTAAAAAAAAAGAACTCAGACCGAGGGATGCTTGGGTGGTTCAGTTGCTTGAGCATTTGGCTCTTGATTTTGGCTTAGGTCATGATCCCAGAATTGTAGGATCAAGCCTCATGTCAGGTTCCGTGCTGAGCATAAAACCTGCTTAAGATGATCTCTCTCCCTCTGCCCCTCTCCCCCACTCATGTGCTCTTTTTCTGTCTTTCTCTAAGAAAAAAAAAAAAAAAAAAGACTCAGAAATAAAAGCAAGAGATTACAAATGATAGTGCTTTTGAAGTTAACCAGTTGTCCTAGAAGTTGTGCTCCTGTGCCACTAAATTAAAGGCTGAATCAATTTTCTTTCCTCTACGGAGTATTTAAGTTCTTAATAGAACCAGGTACATTGTTTGTTATTAAGGTTTTCTAATTTTGAAAAAAGACCCCATTTGACACTTAGGCTCTGAGGGGAATGTATTAGCTCAATAAGTCATGTGACTACTCAGTAGACAATTAACCACTTTGTATTCTTTTTAAATAATTACTCCTCCTTTGACTTCCAAACTTCACGTTAAAATTACAGAAAGTCTTATAATGAGTTTAATCAGGTAGACATGAACAGACCTTTCAGATGTTAACATTGTGAGATCCATTGTGTTTTAAAATGTGTTGTATCTCAGCTGGATCTGTTCACACAGCCAGCCATCCGTGTCCTACAGGAAGAAAGGAGCACTCTGATGCAGTTCTGCAGGGCATTTTGAGGGTATCTCTGCTTTTAAGAAAGGATGAACTGTTCATAAAATTGAGTTAAATCTAAACTTTTATTCTAAGGTAAAGCCTCTTGGTGTTATATGGGGAAAGTTTTCGGAGTTTTACAGCAAAAAAAACACCATTATGTTTGATGACATTGGAAGAAATTTTCTAATGAACCCACAGAATGGATTAAAGGTAAGACATAATTTTACTTGCTATGCTTACGTAATCTGGAATTTGTGGTAGAACTTTATCACTGTTGAATTTCATAGATTTTCGGAAGTCTTGTATTATGGTCACAGACAAGAAAGCTTACATAGTTAGAAAAATTCATACACAGTTCAACATTCTGTCTCCCACATTGGTATCTTGGTTGGCCAATTCATCTAGGTGTTTTTAATGAGCTGCGTGGAGCAACGTGGGCTGTTGTTGACTTTTAGCATCATTTTATTAGCGATACAAATCTTAGAATTTCTGATGTTCTGGTTAACTGGAAAGCTGGCAGTAAAAGTTTATTTTTTCCTGTTTAAACTGAAACTAAGGGTTTTGAAAATTCATACAGGGAAAGTAGAGATCCTAGAGTTATAAAACGCCAGAGCTAGGAATCTCTGTCATTTTGTCTGCCTTCTTAACTTTATATAAACAATCTGAGGATCAGAAAATCTGTAACTTGCCCAAAATCATGTATGTAACTGGTGAATGACAGAATTTGAGTTAGAATCTAAGTGACTTGATTCCAGTGATCTTAGCATGAAGTCCTATGCAGTCTTGTATAGACATGATGGGTAACATTTAATTCTGGTGGCAGCATAAAATTGGTAAGAGGAAAATTTGAAACTTTACATTTCTGGTATCTATCGTTGCCCATATGTTAATATGATATGAAAGTGGAAAAGATAGCTCTATAGTATGATACTAATGCAAGCGGAGTCTCAATCTGAAATGGCAATACTGACCCTAAGATATTTCTATTCTCAGTCCTGAACTTTTCCACAAGTTGGGTTCTTGATAACTTTATTTATTATATTTTTTTAATTTTTTAATGTTTATTTATTATTGAGACAGAGAGAAACAGAGGATGAGTGGGGGAGGGACAGAGAGAGAGGAAGACAGAGAATCCAAAGCAGGCTCCAGGCTCTGAGCTGTCAGCACAGAGCCCGACACGGGACTCGAACCCACGAACCATGAGATCATGACCTGAGCTGAAGGCGGACGCCCAACCGACTGAGCCACCCAGGCGCCCCAGGTTCTTGATAACTTTAGTAGAGAAAAATTTGAAGAGAGTACATTTTTGAAGCTTTCCTTACAGACTGTGGGTGTAGTCTTCAGTGTTTGAGGACAGTTTGGAGAGAGAATGCTGATCCCAGTAGTGAGTTGTAGCAATTAAAAATGCTAGTAGTACTTGAGGTAGATTGGTGGTTATGTTCCTCTTTAAAAATGGTATCTGTTTGAGGCTTTGGGAGAAGTGTTTTTCTCAAGTGTTGTACAGAAATAAATTCTGGAGTAAAGATTCATTTGATCTAAACCAAATGAAATTAGTGGTTGATACCTGCTCAGGAAAGGAAGTGAAATCATGATGTTCAAGGAGTGATTTTTGAGGAAAGCTTTATCTTAAAACAAACAAACAAACATAATCCTTAGTTTTATGTGTGTTTAGAAGAAACTTTATTTTCCCAGCCCACATTTGGGCCCAGCTTCTCTCTGAAAGCAAAGATGATATACACACTTAGTTATTCATGTTACTTTAAAGCAAGATTAGTATTATTATTATTACTTTAAACTAGGTACTCTGTAGAATCACTGAAAGAATTCCTAAAAATTTAAAAGCCTCCAATCTGTCCAAATTTTAATTCAGGAGAGGTATTTTTAAACATTCTACAGCTAATCTCTCACGTGTCTCCTTTTGAAAACTTCTTTTAAGAAGGTAATTATTAACAATCTCCCCACATTGACATAGAAGCCATTTTGAAATTGAGAAATATTCTTACTGTGTTTTGTTGTCATGGTTTCCTAATGCTCTTGATAGAAGTCTCAAAAAAAAGGTTATTTTTAAAATAGCAAACTTCTAATACTATAAGCTTGCCAATCTTAAGGTTTAATGTGGAATATAGAAGCCATTGTGAATTAGGAATAAGTACATTACTGAACTAAACAAAACTTGAGTTTTAGTCCTGGATAAATCAGTACTCTGAAAACTTAGATTGTTATTTACACAAGGAAATGATATAAGAGAAGGCTGGTAATCTAGACCATGTTAAGTTCCTAAAAATGTTTCTTTGGTTTGAGACTACAGTCGTCACACATGTTGCCTGTCCTGCTAGTGAGATCATTTTTGAGCAGTGGTACAATAATAAGTGATTATGCTAGAACAAGTGAAGTTAGGTGAATAATGGACTTTTTTCCACTTTACTACTTTAACTGTTAGATCCAGAGTCATAGGAGTATTTTAGCTTTGTTATTAATAGTGCTTAAGACCAAATGTTTACAAAGTAAAGGTAACTTAGCAGGACCTTGGTAAATCTTTACCAGCCACCGAAACTGTACTTTCTCTTTTAGTTGAAATCCCTTCCTACTTTAAAGTAGAAATCACATTGGCACATTGTATATTAATAGATTAAAAGTTAGCATGTTGTCTTTTTTTATTGGAATGAAGGAATACTTTGAAAGATTTTAATATTGCCCAAGATTATGTAGAAATTCATTTCACCACATCATTATATCCTGCCTCTTTACTCCCAGCCCCAAGGATTAAGCAAGGTCTGGTTCTTGAAGAGAATCTTCTTGATCTCCCACATGCATTGCTGCTGCTGTGAGACAGCACTGCCCACTCTACATGTTTGGAAGCAGAATCTCCTACAACTGCTTGCTTCTGTGCAGACTCACTAGGACAGCTCTTTTTGGTGCCCTTAAAGTTGTGGAAGCCTAGCTGACTGATGGGGGTCCTAACACCAAGCTGTTCTGATGCAAGTAGAACATACAGAAAAATTTTCTTCTGTCCATTTCAAGCTGATGTTCTGTCTTTCCAATAACAGAAGATAGGAATATATATAAAAAAATGTTTAAAACCTTTCCTATTCTTGATAGGGTATTCTTTGGGTTCATTGTATTTAACAGGTGACAAGTAAATGTCATCTGTTTCTCAGTTTACTAAGTAAAATTAATAACTGATAAGCAGTTTACATTTTCTCCAAATCATGATAAGGATATATTAATACTTTACTAAGTATGATTTATTTAGTTCTCTTTATATGTGTGTTTTAGGAATATGATTTTTAAAAACTATTTTTTATAAAATGGAAAAATCCAAATATAAATAGAACTATATAGAATTATATAAGGAACTTCTGTGTTTGCATCGTTCAGTTTAAACAACTTATTAATTCATAGATGATTATATTTGCTTTGTACCCAGCCTACTTCCCTCTCTGTAATTAAAGCAAATCTCAGACATACCATTTCATCAAATTTAATTAAAAATTTTTGAAAGGTTGTCTTGGGTTTTATAAAGATACTTGAGTTGATGTCTAAAAAGACAAAACCCTTTATTGGAACTGTGACAAAGAAAAGTGCATAAAATTTATAATTTAACAAATAGATATAAAGATAACACATGTAATTACCACCAAGTCAAGGTATTAATATCTCTTACTAATTACAATTCTCTACCCTATCTACCATCCTGACTTTTATGCTTTTGAAATGAATGCTTTTCATCATAAAATATACCAACCTTAAAAATCTGGAAAGTATGACTTTTTATGGGAAAACTCTTGTGTAGTTAAAATATTTTTATAGAGACTTTAATAATAAAAATATTTGTGATAAAATAAGAGAAAACATGTTATATAAATGTATAATAGCTATATAAAAATTTATAGCAAAAACACTGAAATGAAAATCATCATTGTTAAAATTTATTTCACTCCCCTGTTAGATCAAGCTTGTATTTGGATTAACATAAATTAGGTGGCATGAATTAAGTTATTTAATTGGTTAGAAGCAGCTGGGTTTGATAGAAGAGGCAAAAGTCTACAGTTTTGCAAAGTAGAGAAGCTGTGTGGAGTTCAAGTGCTACAAGAGAGCTGGTGCTGTCAGTCAGGTTCAGACTGAAAACGTAAAGTAAGGTGAATGAGGTGGAAGAGCTCTTAACTGCATTAGGAACATTATAGCATGACTGTCAGTTTATTGCACTGAGATAGTGCAAAAGTCCTTTTCAGTACCGACACCTTTAGTCATATTTTAATCTCATTAACTGAATCCGAATGAGAGGATAGTGTAGATGTGCTAGTTTCCTTACTGCAATGTAAAGTGTTGGATGTTTGTTTCTTAACAGATAAGACCTTTTATGAAAGCACACCTAAATCGAGATAAAGACAAGGAACTTTTAAAATTAACTCAGTACCTCAAGGAAATAGCAAAATTAGATGACTTTTTGGACCTAAATCACAAATATTGGGAAAGGTAAGTGCTAATTGCTCATCCCATTTCCTCCTTGCATTAATGAATGAAAAAACTATCCGGTGTCCATGGCATACACATAATTCTGAATTTTTATTTGAAGTGCGTGAATTCTAAAACTATTTTCTAATCCAGTGAGTGATATCTCCCTTGAAAGTATTTTTTTTTTTTCATCTTAACCTCTAACTTGTTCATAAACTCACATCTCTTAGGATTTTTAATCCTTTCTAGGAGAGAGGATTTGAGACTGATACGCATTTGTAATGCTACTTGTAAATTTCCCTGTGACACTAGATAGGTCACCCTTTTATGAGTCATACAGAATGTAGTCCCCTGTTCTTATATGTAAAATAAAGTCAGGATAAAATAAAACACATTAAAAAAAATTTTTTTTGTTAAAAATCACTCTACAAGTAACCTCTCTTGTATAGCAGAAAAATTTGAAAACTTTAATCCAGTAGAAAAACAATTACATAATGATTTTCTTTTCTAAAGAGAACCATAGTTACCATCTTAATGTGTAGTAGTCTTCTAGCCTTTCTTCTAAGCACAAACATTTGCACAAATCTACATTTAGACTGCATTTAAACATCAAGATTTTGAAGCAGGGAAAACTTCTGGAGAAGTGGACAGGATTATAATGTACTGTAAGTAATTTTTTGGAATTAGATCATTTAAAGATCTGATTGCATTAATAAATACAGCAACAAAAGAAACTGCTCAGGTAATAGCAACAATTAGGCTAAAATAGGGTAATTAGGAATAAATTCTAAAAGAAAGCTCTTCTGGGGTACTTGGGTGGCTCAGTTAGTTGTATCCAACTCTTGGATTTGGCTCGGGTCATGATCTCATGGTCCATGAGTTTTAGCCCTGCCTTGGGCTCCATGCTGACATATAGCTTTTTATTAGATGATTCTCATTCATAATCCTATTAGGAAGACAAAGCAGGCAATTTTATCCTCATCTCCAAATTACAGATGATGTAACTAAAGAATGGAGATAGTAAATGCTACAAAGTGAGCAAGTTTTGCACCATTAAAACTTTTCTTGGGTCACGTGTGTGTCTCAGTTAGTTAGGTGTCTGACTTCAGCTCAGGTCATGATCTCATGGTTCATGAGTCTGCGCCTCACAACAGGCTTGCTGCTGCAGTACAGAGCCCACTTCGGGCCGTCTCTCTCCTGCCCTCTCTGCCCCTCCGTCCCTCCCCTTCTCCCTCTCCCTCTCAAAAATAAACAAAGAGCTAAAAAAACAAAAAGTTGTCCAGGTCTTCTGATTTTAAGAACTCTTTCCCACCCCATACTACTGAATGTAGTAATTTATATATTTGAGAAATAGAGGTAAAAATTTGAATTTAGTGGTAGATTCCTATAAAATAATATGAGGAAAAATTAATTACTTATTATTAACATCTTTGCATCTTTACACTCTTGATCAGAGTCTTATAGCATCTGTGGCCCATAGTCATTACCCATGAAAAAAAAGTCTTTAAATGAATGAGAAATTTTTTGTGGAAATTGCAATATTAGTTAATACATCACTTTCACATTAGGAAGTCAGGCAGTATGAAGGGAGAGATTGCAGTCTCCAGAACCTTGTTTTGAGTCTGAGCTCTGCCACTTTCTAGCTCATTGAACTTGGGTAAATTGCTTACCCTCTTCATGCCTGTGAAATAAGAATAATTCTAAAAGAAAGCTATTCCTGTGTTCCTGGGTGGTTCAGTTAAGTGTCCAACACTTGGTTTTGGCTCAGGTCGTGATCTCATAGTGCGTGCGTTCGAGCCCTGCATTGGGCTCTGTACTAACAGTGCAGAACCTGTGTGGGATTCTCTCCCTTTCTCTCTGCCCCTCCCCTGCTTGTGCTTCCTATCTCTCTGTCTCTCAAAACAAACAATAAGAAGATAAAAGAAAGCTCTTCATAGAGCTGTTGTGAGGACTAAATGAATTAATACCTGTACTTAAAACAGTGGGGGGAAGGGCACGTGGGTGGCTCAGTGGGTTAAGTGTCCACCTCTTGATTTTGCCTCAGGTCATGATCTCATGGTTCATGGGATCAAGCTCTGAGTCAGGCTCTGAGCTGACAGCTGGAGCTTGCTTGGGATTCTCTCTCCCTCTCTCTCTCTGTCTCTTCCCTGCTCATTGTTTCTCTCTCTCTCAAAAAAACAAAAACAAAAAACCAGTGGTTGGCACATAAACAGTCAGTAATAGGTATTAGTTATTACATTAACATTAACATCTGGAAATGTTTTGTTATTAAAATCTGTTTCCTTTGGGAGGAGAGTTAGATTGTTATTGTGAATTTATCATGATACAGCTTAGACATATTTATTTTATTTCTTGCAGGTATCTGTCAAAGAAGCAAGGACAGTAGTTACAAGTTACATGGGCAGTTACCGAGGATACTTGAGATCACGAACTTCTTGCTTTTCTGCTAGAAATCATTATAATAGTGCTGGACACTGCAGCGAATATCAGACTGCTTATACTTGGTCTTCCAGTTTTGTAAATTTAATTTTATATTTTTTGAAGATCATAGCAATACGCTTAAAAAATCCTTTTCTCCTATATGAATATACTGTTACTCTTGAAAAATATTTTCTCCGGCATTGAGTACTGAGTTTTTTCCCCACACACACACAAAAAATGTACAAAAATGTATTCTCAACGGTGTCATTTTGTGGCTTTGGAAACCAGTTATGTCTTGTGTTTTTGTCTCACTGTGTTGTTTGACTAAATCTAAGACCAAACCCATCTTGAAGCTACTGCTTTTCCCTTTAAAACTCCCCCCCAAAAAAGTTTTTGCTTAAGGAACCTAGTTTGGTATGCTTAAAATCACCAAGAGTTTTTTTATTCCTTTGTTGTAGACACAATTCTCTTCTTCCTGTGCACTATTTACATCTCTACATTTTGATCTGTCTCAGTTTGGTCTGTATGTGTGTCTGTGTTCTTTGAGTAAAACTGGAAAACGTCAGCTGTGATACAAGTATGTCTCATAGTATGAGAAATAGGAAACATAAGACTGAAGAGTAAAACTAAGGAACAAAAATGTCTTCCTTTTTTTGGTGGCTAAGTAAAGGCACTTCTGCCTAAAACCTGCCTAATCATAAAAACAATTAAAGGCAATACATTTTTAAGTGGACATGTCACTGGCTCAGCCCTAAAAAGCATGAACAAAAAGTTTTTGTTCTGTTCCAGCTCTATATTGTCTTAAGTGCAAACACTATGTTTCAGTGAAAATATTTAGCCATAAGGTTAAAAAAAAATTATTTGCAATGCTTAAGCCCGCAGATATATAATGTGACCACTGTTTGTGTTGACAGTATTGCTTTATACAGTTCTTGTATTTGAAAGGAATCTAGTCCTTTCAAATAAACATGGTGTATATTGTTCTTACGGGACTATTTCAGTGGTGTAAATAATAAATACTTTTTCTTAAAACATTGGTTTTGGTCTTTTCTACCCCAAATATTTCGCCTCTTTCTGGAATCACAAAATGAAACATTAGGTTCAGGCAAGGACCTTTCAGAAAAAAACTAAACATGTATGGTTTATAAGTGTGTATATCACTATTCATGCATTCAGAATTGGTTTTAGCAGCTAATTAGATATGTTACGTTACCTAATTCTAGGAAGTACCCTGTATTCAGGGAGATAAGCTGTTTTTGTGACAGGTTATTATAAAAAATATATAGTGTAGAAGTGCTTGGGAACTCTTAACTAAATTCAATTAAAAACATCTTTCTAAATTATGAGGTTAAATTTAAACATTTAGGGATGGAGTAGAAGTTTTAGGAATATTCACTTCACTGGAGCATTTTCCCATTGTAAAAGGTGGTTTACTGTTCCAAAGTAGGTGTGGAAAGGGCTTAAATCCTCTTCGGAAAACTGAACACTTAAAGCTGTTTAGTTCGGAAGAGCAGATGTTTTCTAATTCAATATAAAATACAAAAATGAGTAAGCCTCAGAAAGCAAAGCAGGATTTTTTAAAATAGTTTATTGTCAAGTTGGTTTCCATATAACACCCAGTGCTCATCCCCACAAGTGCCCTCCTCCATGACCATCACCCCCCTTCCCCTCCCCCCACCCCATCTGCCCTCAGTTTGTTCTTGGCATTCAAGAGTCTCTTATGGTTTGCCTCCCTCCCTCTCCCCCTTTATTTCCCCGCTTCTTCTCCCCAACAGTTCTCCGTTAAGTTCCTCCTAATCCTCCTATACGTGCAAAGATACGGTATTTGTCCTGCTCTGCCTGACTTCTTCCCTCAGCATAACACCTTAAAGTTCCATCCATGTTGCTACAAATGGCCAGATTTCATTCTTTCTCATTGCCATGGAGTATTCCATTGTATAGATAAACCGCATCTTGATCCATTCATCTGTTGATGGACACTTAGGCTCTTTCCATGTTTTGGCTATTGTGGAGAGTGCTGCTATGAACATTGGGGGACATGTGCCCCTATGCATCAGCACTCCTGTACCCCTTGGGCAAATTCCTAGCAGTGCTATTGCTGGGTCATAGGGGAGTTCTATTGTTAATTTTTTGAGGAATCGCCGCACTGTTTGCCGGAGGGGCTGCACCAGTTGACATTCCCACCAACAATGTAGGAGGGTGCCCGTTTCTCCACATCCTCACCAGCATCTAGAGTCCTCTGATTTGCTCATTTTAACCACTCTGACTGGCATGAGGTGGTATCTCAGTGTGGTTTTGATTTGTATTTCCCTGATGAGGGGGGATGCTGAGCATCGTTTCATGTGTCTCTTGGCCATCTGGATGTCCTCTTTGGAGAAGTGTCTGTTCATATCTTCTGCCCCTCTCTTCAATGGATTGTTTGTTTTTTGGGTGTGGAGCTTGGTGAGTTCCTTATAGATTTTGGATACTAGTCCTTTAATATGTCATTACAACTATCTTTTTCCATACCGTCGGTTGCCTATTAGTTTTGTGGATTGTTTCCTTTGCCGGGCAGAAGCTTTTAATCTTGATGAGGTTCCAATAGCTCGGTTTTGCTCTTGATTCCCTTGCCTTTGGGGATGTGTCAAGTAAGAAATTGCTGCGGTTGGGGTCAAGGAGGTTGTTTCCTGCTTTCTTCTCTAGGATTTTGACGGTTTCCTGTCTCACGTTCAGGTCCTTTACCCATTTTGAGTTTATTTTTGTTATGGTGTGAGAAAATGATCGAGTTTCATTCTTCTGCATGTTGCTGTCCAGTTCTCCCTGCACCATCTGTTAAAGAGGCTGTCTTTTTGCCATTGGATACTCTTTCCTGATTTGTCAAAGATTAGTTGGCTGTACACTTTTGGGTGCAAATCTGAGTTCTCTATTCCATTGGTCTATGTGTCTGTTTTTGTGCAAATACCATACTGTCTTGATGATGACAGCTTTGTAGTAGAGGTTAAAGTCTGGGATGGTGATGCCTCCCGTTTTGGTTTTCTCCTTCAATATTACTTTGGCTATTTGGGGTCTTTTGTGGTTCCATACAAATTTTAGGATAGTTTGTTCTAGCTTTGAGAAGAATGTTGGTGCAATTTTGATTAGGATTGCATTGAATGTGTAGATTGCTTTGGGTAGTAATGACATATTAACAATATTTATTCTTCCAATCCATGAGCATGGAATGTTTTTCCATTTCTTTGTGTCTTCTTCAATTTCCTTCATAAGTTTTCTATAGTTTTCATCATACAGATCTCTTCTATCTTTGGTTAGGTTTATTCCTAGGTATCTTATGGTTTATTTTGTGCAATTGTGAATGGTATAAATTTCTTGATTTCTCTTTCTGTTGCTTAATTGTATAAAAATGCAACCAACTTCTCTATGTTGATTTTGTATCCTTTAACTTTGCTGAATTCATAGATCAGCTCTAGTAGGCTTCTGGTAGAGTCTGTCGGGTTTTCTATGTAGAGTATCGCGTCGTCTGCAAAGCAGGATTTTTAAAAAACATTTTCTGCCGTTAGGTGGTGCCCAAACCAAAGTTTATTAGGCAGTATGCTAAATTTAGCAATTCTGGGAGAACATTGTTCTTGTCAGCTTACTGAGATCACATGTTTGTGTGATTAATACATTCGTAGAGTATTAGACTTTTACTTTGTCTTCTGCATCTCATAACTTATTGAACATACTTATTTCTCAATCTCCATGTATGTGGCGCACACAACAGAACCAGGAGATGACTTAATCCACATACATATGCTGATGAAACAGCAAGTTAGTTTTATGACAGAGACGTTCCAAACTTTGAAGCGATTGATTCTTGATAAGATATATGTAATCTAAAAACTGCAGAACATCATGAAACCTTTGATTCAGAGAGAGCTGTCTGAGATCTAGTAGCCTCTTAGATCCTTTATGAAGATTAGTTATTGGACTAATGATACATACAGGAGTTACTTCGTTTTAATAGCAAAGAATAGTTAAACAGGTCATTACGGTGAGCAACTGAGATGTTCTTTATTCACAGAAAGTAAAATGATTGTCAGTTTTGTGGAGGAGGTGGAGCTCTGCAGGGAGAAGGACTGGGAAAGAATGATAATGCAAAAAAAAAAAAAGAAAATGCAAATTACTTAGTTGATAGCTTGGTTTCTACATGACAGTTGGTTGCCAAGAATAATCATAAAATGTGAATAGTGAATAAACTGGTTGAGGATTTTTCTCATTCCAAGTAATGAACAGAACTTTCAATGGAAAATTGTTACAGTTTCTCCTAAGGTATTTATACATCAAACTATTCTTACTAACTAGAATAGCATCTCAAGAGGTGTCTATAGAGATTAAACACTTAAGTATTTATGTAAGGTTATAGTAGTCTTTGGAATTGCTTTGGAGAGGCTGTGTCAGTTTTGATGGGAATGATAAATATTCAGAGCTTAAGAAGAAAATCCTTAAAGATGAGCTTGACAGATTTATCAAAGACTTATGAGAAATTAATTCATGATAAGAACTAGAAGAGAAATATCAGACATCCTGTGGGGTTAAAAAAGGCTATCAATTACCTAATGTCAATGAGGTTCCACGTAGAATATAAAATCTTACAAATCTCTAACACTAAAGATTTTTTTTAAAACTCTAGAAGTAAGCAAGCACTTCTTAAATGCTGCTAAAAAGTGATTTCCTGATACAGTGTTACTTATTGAAACCTGATTTCCTTGTGAAAACCTTTAAAAGTTCAACCGAGGGTTTGTAAGACCATTTATAAGCAGTGGCAACATAATCATAAAAATATAAAAGCCAGATTGCTTAAGCATTAGTGATATTTCTATTAGTCAATATGTTAGATGTGTATGTGTGTAATCTGTGACACAAGAGGCCAAACTCTCGTTTGGAACATACAGATTATTAAAATGAAGTAAACCATTTTAATTGAATACAAATCCCTCTTAATCCAATTATTAGCTATTAATTCCCTGGAGCACTTTTGATTGCTATCACTTCTTGTTGCATAATATGTAGGAACAGTTATGGTTTCCCAAATGAGACCTTAGAAAAAAAGGCAAGAGATTTGTCAGGATTGACACTTGGCTAGAATCCCGCCTTACTAACAGTGGGACCTTACACAAGTCTCTCTAACCCTTTGAACTTTTCTTTCCTCTTCAAAAAAGAACTAATAATAACACTTCTCTCTCCCAAAGGCTGTTGCAAAGATCACATGAGACAATTCATCTGGAAATACTTTGAAGCAACGAAAGCTTTGTGAATGTTAGATGTTATTAAAAGTGGTTCCGAGGGTGTGGCTATGATTGAGCTATATCATTCTTGAAATTATAATTAGAGTGTAGTGTTAAAAGGAAAGCTTTCTGTAATTACGTACATGTTTTACAAATATTACCTTGGCTTTCTGAGAGTTCTAAACAGCCAAGGAAAGTAAAATGAAGATGTGCTTCTTACGATCTAGGTGTTTTGTAAGCATGCTTTTAGTAATGGTCTGGACTGGAAGGCCTGCCGACTCCACTATTAACCATCCAAAGTACATATGTTTAAGACTTTAGCAGCATTATAATACATCTTTGTATAGTGGAATATTAACATTATTTTAATCTTTTAACTTTGGAGATGCTGTTCCCAGACAGACGTTAGCTAATTTTGCTATGCATGTAAAAAATTAAAAATTACTCCAAAGCAATGAGAACTTTTTCTTTATATATATATATTTGTGTGTGTGTGTGTGTGTGTGTGTGTGTGTGTGTTTTGTTGTAAAGATATACTCAGGTAGATACTAATTTTTCCCCGGTAGGCTTGGCAGAATAAACTGCCTATGCAGGAAACAGGCAGTCAACATTTAACGTACATTTGTTAGTCCTCCGTGTCTCAGGCATTGTTCTTCAGAGGTAAACACAAGAAGATTCTCTTCCCTCACAGAATTTATGTTTGAGTAAAGGAAACAATAAAGAAAAAAGCAACGTGATAATTTTTGAAGACTAAGAAGTGCTTTGAAAATGTAGTATGATAGAAGGTGGAA